CTTCATGTGCACCAAGAAAGACGCCAAGTCTCCCAGGTCTCCACTGGGCGCGTTCCCTCAACTCGTGTTCCAAGTATAAGCCTGACTCGAGCAGCGCGCGCACCTGTAGTTCGGCTCCGGCCAACTCTCCTTTTGGTGTCCCAGGAGCCAGCCGTGCGTGTCCGTCGTGTGCAAGACGTTGAAGTCGCCCCAGTCCAGAGGACGCGTCGGAGGACGGAGCTTCGTCGGAGGGTACGCGCGCTGTGCGTGGCTGTGATCATGCCCGCCGCATGCAAGCACGCCCTGGGCAACCGAGAAAGCCAGAGCCAGCCGCGCAAAGACCATCGTGAGCGGAGAGAGCAGAAGCTATCACATATCGGTCAGGTCCTTATATATGTACGACGTTGAATTCGGCGGGCAGACATGGCCGTAGGTCGGTGGAAGCGATATACCCTCCGTGATGCGCGCGGCTGTTCAATAGTGCACGATTGCCTTATCGCGCGGATGACCCCTTCGGCGCCAGACGCGTACAGGTCCTGTTTCCGATGTGAGTGGAGGGTCGGTCACCCGAGGGGATCTCGAGTTATAGCTCTTGAAGACGCGTTGGCAAAGTTTACCGACGAGACTAGAGACGCCGTTCAGATTCGATGGGGTCGAACAGTTGCCCTGCGCGACAAGCGGACACTGCCAGGAAGCCGCCTGCAGAGGTGCATCTTCGTGGAGTAGTACATGACTGACTTTGCCTCGCTCGTCGCAGAGGGCGGAGGCGACATCGCGTCGCGATCGATGAAAGGGAGTCGAAGTGGCCCATGAAACTCCAACTGCGCTAGATTTCCACAATACTTGCAGATAGTTGGCTGGTGAAATGCCAGCTGATAGTAGGCGAGTCTCAGTATGCGGATGGCGAGTCGAACCTGAGTTTGTGCTTGTAGATGCAGATGAAGGCTGAGAACGGGATGAAATTTTCCCACGCCACTGTCAATGAAATTGTTTGGGCTTGTTTTCAGCGTCATTGACTTTCAAGAAGAGGTTCGCCTTCGTTGACGCAAAGTAACAGAGAACAACATGATCCATTGCTTTATGTAGCAGGAGAGCCTGACTGTACTGAAGTAGACATATGGGCATATGTAAGTCCTTGACGATGCTGTGAATGTTGTATGTGCTTCTAAACCGAGGGGGACCATGCGAGGTAGTAAGTGTGCCATTATATGCGGTGAAGTGGTGATTAGTTACTAGTTGTTTTATACCATATGTACGCGGAGAGACGCCAGCATCAGCAGCAATCCTACGGCGAAAGCCTGTCATGTTACACCCACAGCCGCGCCGTCCCACCCCGTCAGTCCACGTCCTCAACGCAGCTGCCTAGCGTAGTCCAGCCGGGTCTCATCCTCCAGCTTCCGCTTCTCGCCTGACGTGCGCGGGAAGACGAGCCAGAAGCGCAGAGTCTGGTCCCGCCCACCGGCACCGGTGACGATGGACTGACCATCCGGCGACATCGCCAGATAGAGCGGTCTGCAATAAGATCAGCAACAGCTTCAACCATCGCGTTGTGAACTCACCGGTCAAGGTGTCCAGGCAAGTTCGCAATCATCTCCAGGCTTGGATACTTCCACACGCAGATCGGATTCGGACCACCGCGGTACGCGCAGCGGTGCGTGGAAACGATCTCGCGCGACGTGGGTGAGTAGGCGAGGGCGCAGACCTGGCAGCCAGTGTCCACGGTCTGAAGGAGGTCGCCCGTGGAACAGTTCCACCAGCGGATGCTCTGATCGCTCGAACCGCCGCCAGACGCGAGAATGCCGCTCTCGTGAGGGTCCCAGGCGAGGGCCTTGACAGCCGCGGTGTGCGAATGGAACTTGAACAGGTAGTCCGAGGACGCCGCTGAGTAAAGTTAGTTCAGTACGAAGCACAGGTACTGGTGCCACAAATCAACTTACCGTCACTCAAACTAGACGTGCTAGAGCTGAACGAAGTGTCCTCAAGGCTGCGATCAACGATGCCTCTCGCAACGTTCCCGACCGTCACATCGTTGTCGCCCGTCGCCCGCACACGAGTCCGCGGGCGCTGGGAGCCGCGCAGATCCCAGATGATGACCTTGTTGTCGTTCCCTCCGCTGGCCAGCAGCCCGCCGACCCCACCCAAGTTGGATGCGCCCCAGTCCGGCGACGTTGACGCGCCGTTACTCCACTCAAGCCCACATATCTCCTGCTTGTGGCCCGTGGAATCGTGCACAGGCCCCCGGCCGTCTTGACGTACGTCTCGGTGATGAATGTGCTTGTCACGCGACCCGGACGAGAGCAGGTCCCCATTCCACGCCAAGCAGCCAATCTTGAGCTCGTGCGCGCCAATATACGTCCGGATGAGAGCGAGCTTGACGCCGTCGAACAGGTACAGTCTCCCGGACTCTGTCCCAACGGCGAGCTGTGTGCCGCGCTGGTCCCATCGAAGGCTAGTGACGAGGTCGCGTGGCTTGTACGTTGTGGCGTCGAAGACGCGTTTGGCTTCGAAGGAGTTGCCACTGCAGACGTAGACAGTGCTGCCGAGCGCGACGGCAATAACATTCCGGGCGCTCCAGGCGAGGAGGTTCAGGTAAAAGTCGTCCTCGAGGTCCGGTGCGCTGAGTACGCGGTACGGGGCTTTGCTGATCTGCCGTACGCTGGGGTGCGGTGCTTGCAAAATGGCAGACGTGCGTGCGCCGATCGGCGAGGCGAGATAGTTCTCTGGAGTGTCGAGAGCGTTTTCGCCTTCCGGGCGCCTATGGGCCGAATCCCGAGAGGGAGTGGCGTATGCGAGTAACTGGGTTCGCCGCCTTGAGGGGGCGGGGGAGTAGTTTTTGGGGCTTGAGGTCGACGGGGACAGCTCAGACAGGGCTTCGGTGTGGAGCACGGAGTCGAATATCGATCGGGCTTGTTCTGGGGATCAGGCGGTGTCAGACGAGCAACACGTTGCAGGAACCCGCCACACACCTTTTCTTGCGTCCGAGTCCGCTGGGATAAAGCTGTGGCGCTTCTTCAGCTTCGGTTTCGGCTGCCGATTCTCCTCGTCCTCCAGCAGGTTGTAGAAAAGCCCGAAGTCGTCCGCCTCACGCGAGGAGATGAACCTGTCGCCATAATCTCGTGAGGTGCTCGATCCGTGGGTCTTGGGCGTTTCTGGCGTCTCTGGCGTGAACGCTGCTTCTAGCGTCGAGACACTGCGTCTTCGTTCCACGGGACTGTTAGTGGCTGATGAATCTCCGAGAGGTGTAGTGCGCTCAGATGCGTCCGAGCGCGATAACTTAAGGCGTTTGGCGAATGTAGAATTAGAAAAGTTAGACATATCGCATGAGCTTGAAAATCGAAAGCAGCAAAGCAGACACGCTCAAGATGAACGTGGAGGACAACGTCAAGCCGCGAGCGCCGGAGGCTGATTCTGGAGGGGAGATCACGTGGGCGCATACTCGTGACAGTTTGGAGTGTCACTTGGTCACGGTTGGTCACCCCTCTTGTCCTTTGCAATTTCATCTTCTGTCATCCTCTTCCGCACTCGGCGCAGCAGCTTGGCCCCGATATGACCAAGATCGCATCGTATACTTACGACAATTATCTGCACGAAAAATAATTTTCTGCCACACGATGATCCACGCTCCGAGCCCGACGGTGGCGCGACCGCGACGGCATGCACACTTCGCGTCCATACTGTTGTCTATCCTCTGCGTCTGGAAACGATCTTGCTATCATCGCTACAATGTAACTGGTCTCACTACCTGGTCTGTCTTGGCAAGTCAAGGGTCAGTTGTCTCGGATGCCCCTTCTCCTTTACAGACGCGTCTACTGCTGTTCCCGAAGACCAATGCTGCGGTATAGGAATCCACAACGCGATCGACGTGAGACCCGTGCAATACACCCTAGAACTGAAATACTGCTCTCCCTTTCCTTTACGTCCACAAGTCTGCTCTTACACCCATGTCTTCCAGCAGCAAAACATCTTCAGATATGGGCACGAGTGGGCACGACGTCGCAAATGACGGGTCATTGCGTCGGGAACGCTCCTTCTCGATCGTGGTACGTCCACGGCTGCGTATCGATATCCTCGCGCTCACGGTTCACCTATAGCAAATGCGCCGAAAGCTCAGCACGCGAAGGGACGCCATGAAGCGTGCTATAATCACAGACAATGTGCGTACTATCTGTTCCTACATATCGCAATGGCTCATGTTCGCGCAGGTACCACCCCCGGCGTCATCGAGCAGGACATCGCGGAAGGACGCTAGCGAGCAGCGCGGCCTCGGACGTCGACTCCGGATGCTTCTTCCTATGCGGCACGCGCCATCGGACGCGCAACTCGACCTTTCCGGCCAAAGCCCACTGGCTCGCTCTTCGCCAAATACGAAGAGACATGTCAAGAAGATGTCACTGGCCTCACTAGGTTCTGTCCTCCTGCCCAGGAAAAGCACGCCTCCCCTCCCTCACCCACCCCACGCATACGTCCAACGCTCGAAGTCATGCGTAGGCACCACCAACAGCCACCGCAAGCGCTTCCCGAACATGTCCTTTGAATCCGTCACGAAGCGGCAAGCATCCGCCGACGCCGTTCATTCCGCCAGCGTGCGCAGGAATAGGTTGTCGATGCTCAGCTCGACGACTACGTCCAGTGTGCAGAGGAGCGACCAGGAGGACTCGGACAGCTGGAGGCGAAGCGTCTATGCGGTGAATGACGATGATGATGACCCTTTCCGTCCGCCAACGCCCACGTATCTGCGCGGCTCGTCAGCGGCCAGCTCTCTCTGTGCATCGGTGAGTTCTTCCGGCTTTTCGCCTCTCAATGTCACTCAGCTTTTCGCAGGCTGCACAACGAGCCCCGCTCATTCTGAGAAACCATAGTACACTGTAGATTCCTCCACGATGTTTGCATAAAACGGTGTTACTTACTGTATACAAGACCCTCTTCGCACGAAACATGTACGCCCCTTCGGTCAAAGGAGTCAAATGCCCTGTGAGCCAACAAAACATAAGACGAAAAAGAGTCTGTGGTGTCTCTGTGTATGGCCCGTACGGGGGTCGAACCCGCGACCTTGGCGTTATTAGCACCACGCTCTAACCAACTGAGCTAACCGGCCTACAATAAGTGTCTCTGCGGCACCTTTTAACTAAACTCATGATCATGATTATCGGCCGGTCAAAGGCTACTGGCCGACGCGCTCAATATACAGTGACGTTGCAGCCGCAGACCTCTGGTAACCCTTGAGCACAAAGCGAACAATGGTTGCACTACTGCTAGTCCAGATACGCCTATGTCAGACATCCGACTTCTAATTGGCAGTTCGTGGGGGCATATCATGTTTACTCGCGACTCAGCTACAAAGTGATGGACAGTATACAGGCCGTAAGCGTATACGCAGCGAGAAGCCTGCGCGAAGCTGCCACAAGTCCGTCGATGCGCGAGATCCCACGGCGATGGGTACTGATCCCACTGTTGATCAGCGGCAGGTGTGGCTGATGAAGCTAGCGCGCTTCACCCTACCTCCCCGCAAGTCAATCTAGCCTACACGCGCATCTGAAAGTCCCACCGGTCAATCAGATCAAGGTCTCAGCACGCCCTCGCACCGACACGCTCCGATCACGATGCCGACCAAGCTCATCGCTTGGTCTCAGTAGCGGTACGAAGAGCCGACAGTCTTCCGAGAGCCATAAAGTAGCGGCCGTTGCACCGGGAAAACGCCATCCTCTCTTCCCCGACCCCATCGCCGTTTCGAGCATCGCTGTGAGCACAGCGCCGTCGCGGCGTATCCGATGTGGACGATCGGTATCACTGACACTAGGCGCAGGTCCTATTACACGTTAGCCCCATACATTCTACCGCCCGTGCATAAAGGCGGACATCTTCGTGCCTCTGGATCGCATCTCTCTTTCCCTCTCGCCACCGCCGATACTACCCAGCACGTCCACCACCACCACCATGCGCAGCACTACCAGAATCTACACGCACCCTGACCTCACGGATTCGGATGTCTGGGGCCTGCCGGGGTCGAATGACCACAGGAAGGCGAAGGGAGCGCTTTGGACGACGAGCGCGCTCGCGATGACGGCCGCGGCGGCCTCCGCGTACTACGTGCTCTCGCGATTCACGTCCTTGGGCGCGCAACTGCAGAGGTGAGTGGTACCCATCCGGGCTAGCAGTCCCGTGCCCGCGCTTCACGGTCCTGTGCTTCTCAACGTAGTATGCTAATCAACCCGCCTCAGGATTCTCTGACCCGTATCAGGCGGAGCTCGCTGCTCACCTGTATCTCGCGGCTGTGGGAGGGGCGACGCACCGCCCGTGTCCAGACCTCCCTGCCCTCGACGTCCGCCACGACTCGCGTCTGGTGATGCCGCCCTCAGGGGCTGGCGCAGCGTTCCCCTCGTCGACATACATATCGATGGGACACCTGCATAATCACATGCGATTACGATGATGATCTGCCCTGCCACCTTTGTTATTACGCTTTTGTTGTACTTCTAGACTCTTGATACGCACTCGTGTACTTGTTCGCTATCAGCTGCCATGCATGTCTCTCATTCCTTCGCTGGTGAGTGTGAAGCTCGTGTACATGGCAGCGGCCGGCGGCTTGTTGGCGATTCTTCCCACGTCCAAGTGCAAGTCAGCGGCGCGAGCAGAGTTCTACCGGCTCTGCAGACGTACGTTAGCGCATTCGAGCAGTCTATAAGCTTACAGTATTCGCACCCTTTGATGCCAGATCAACGCGCTCTCGCACTAGAACGTCGATTCAAAGTTCAAACCTCTCGAACTTCAGAAGTCTTCTACCTTGTACACATCGTACACAACTTCCTCGTACGGATGCGCTTCTTTCAGTGCGTCAATCACTTCGGACATGAGCGCGCGCTCTTGAACGCGCACGCTAACTTCAACACGGTCCTCTTCAACCGTCTCTGCCCGCCCGGCCGCGCCTATAGCGGGTGACGCGCCAGCCTGTGGGACAAACTGGCCTGTGGAATTCAAGTCAGCGATGCACGTCGGCTGCGACTCATGATGAAGACGCTGACCTACGCCCCGACCGACGAATGCGCAGCCGCGATAGAGGCCTTCTTTCCCGACTGTATCCGGGAAGCGTTCGAATAGCCTGCGGAGAACGCCTGGCGTGGCAGAGACTGGCGAGAAGAAAACAAGCTTGAATTTCATGAGGGAATGAGCTGGCATGGTAGCACAGTGACACATTGGCCGATCCTGCAAGCAGCGCAAGAGAGAAGGCAATGGTGGCTGTTGATGTGCCGGATCGGCAATTGCCGCAAACGGCGTTCCACGGTCATGTGCATGAAGAACAATGCAAGCACAAACAGTGCCAGAACAGTATGTTCACTGTTCACCGCAGTCCAGCGCGCGCTGCCTCAAGTTTCGAGGACAATGAAATGGTAGTCACGCGTTGCGGAAATGCCATTCGGGGATCAGGCTGTATTATAAGCCGTAGGCTGCTGTCTTTCCACGCATTAATGGGGTAGTGGTAACCTGGGTCGTTGCCACATAGGCATCCTTTCGACCCGCCGGGGGTTCGATTCCCCCTTAATGCAATTGGCCATTCTCACGTCTGTGTTTTTTTGACCTCAAAATTGAGCCCAGGTTGAGCCTCCTCTCGCTTTGCATTATATCAACGGCCTTGGCGTGTTTCCTCTCGTTCTCCCGTGTCCTTTCTGACATCAGGGCATGGGCAATCTTCAACGGCATAGGTTGGGTCAAAGGGTCAAGTAACGACCAAACATCATGAACCGACCCAACATCATGAAACCGGCAACTTGAGCGACCACACCTGGCCCAATAACCATGTTATAAGCGAAATTAGTTCTAAGTTATGCAGGTGTGCTACCAAGTCCAACGAGTGACGGGGATGGTGAGGGGTGCGGAGTGGGCTGAGGGGTGCGGAGTGGGCTGAGGGTGCAGACCGGTGGGCTGAGGGGTGCGGAGTGAAGAGGGGGACGAGGGTGCAGAGAGGGGACGAAGGTTCAGAGAGAGGACGGGGGTTCAGAGAGGGGACGGGGGTGCAGAGAGAGGAACGAAGGTTCAGAGAGGGGACGGGGGTGCAGAGAAGGAAGGTTCGGAGAGGGATCATGGCTGGGGTCGTAAGTACACACAGCGGGTTAGTGTTCGGGAGGATTTGAGTCCGTTGTGGTAAGGGGAGGAGGGAGGAGGACAAGCGGGAGGGGAGGGACAGGAAGACGGAGAAGGACAAGAGGGAGAGAATGTAACAAGACCCGAAAGCAATGTGAGGATATTAAATAAGGCGACGTCCGACTAGATAAGAGATGAACAAGACTATGGGCTTGGCGACGCATGTTTTGAACTAGACACATGCTTTGAACTAGGTCACGCCAGACGCATGCTTTGAACTAGGTCATGCCACTGTCTTTCCCTCAACGTCCCTATCGCTCGTCCCGGGGAAGGCTGTCGTACGTGGGCGGGATCTCGTTTTGCTCCATACGGCCCCCGTCCTGATGGACGTACACGTCGTCACCAGAGGGATGACCTGCAGGGGATACAGTATTAGCATCACAACGATGTCCCTCTTGAGACCGCGACGCACCTCCTGAAGCCCCCGACGAGAGGTACTGCTGCCTGTCCTGGTCGGAGACACCCCCATGATCTGGGTGCGCGACGCCCCCATGATCTGGGTTCGCAACGCCGAAACGCTGCGGGTACGCCTCGCGCTCTTTTGAGCCCGGGATGTAGCCCGCCCCGCCAGGCGCGCCGGACGGCTGCGACGGGTACGACGAGCGGCCGGACGTCGACGATGGTGGCGGCGGCGTGTAGTTGGCCGGAGCCGCTGTTCGCGGGGCGTCAGTCTCTGATTCAGCGATCATCTCGCAACAACAACAAAAACGCACCTCCGGGAATCATGCCCGCTTGCGAACCCGCGTACATGCTCGGGTGATACCCCTCGGACGTGCCGCCGTACATTGAATGCGACTGCTGCGACATGGGCGGAGGGCTGCCGGAGCCTGCCGGCGGGACGGGGCTGTGCGGCGGGGAGCCCTGATACGCTTCTTGTTGCGGCTGCTGCCCGCCGGCGGCGGGGTTGTAGAGGAAGGGCGTGACGACACCGGCGCCGTTGTCCAGCATGGTCGCTCCGCCGACCCGCGTGCCGCCGGGTGCTTCGTCATCGTCGACCTGCACGTCCGGGAGCGTCCCCGAGGGGCGCGCGACACGATCGGGGTCGAAGTTGCCGTCGAAGTAGTCGTCGAGGGACTGCTTGCGGCGGCGCCAGCGCAGGAGGAAGAAGATGGCGGCGCCGAGTATGGCGAGACCCGCTATACCGCCGACGACGCCGCCGACGATGGCGCCGGTGTGCGACTTGCTGCCGCCGCCGTCGCCGTCGCCTCCGCTGGCAACGGTGGTGGGGAGGGTGGTGGTGGCGTATGATGTGGTCTCGTACACAGTGGTTATCAGCTGCCCGTTGGACGTCTGCACCACGGTGGTCTGGTAGACAGTCGTCTGCGTGGAGGTGAATGAGGACGTCGAGGCGGTCTCGCTGGTTGCTGTTCCCGAAGTGCCGGAGGTTGCAGTATCCGAGCGCGTCGAGGTCCCGGTCCCGGTCCCGGTTCCGGTCGCGCTGCCGCCGCCGCCCCCGGTGGTACCTCCTCCTTGCGTAGTCTCGGTATTGGTGGGGGGCTGGGTCGTATTTGTGTCCGTAGGCGGCTGGGTCGTGGAGGTGTCTGTGTCCGGAGGTGTGGTGGTCGTTTCTGTGGGGGTGGTGTCGGTGTCTGTGGGGGGTTCGGACGTGGTGGTGTCTGTGGGCGTTGTCGTCGTCGTCGTCGGGTCGTCCGCGGACGTCGGCGTATCGGACGTGGAGGTGTCCACCGGAGAGCTGGAGTCAGACATGGTAGGGGAGGTGCTCGGGTTGGTTTCGCTGCTACCGCTAGTGGTTGTATCGGTCGGAGACGCTGATCGCGCTCGTCAGCATGAAGATCGGAGGAGAGAAAGAGAACACAGCCACGCACATGCGGTCGTAGACATTTACTGTCGGGAGCAACGGGGCCTGGAAACCTGTGATTGAATTCTCCAGCTACTTCTGAAAGTGCGGTTGGAGAGAGCAGATGAGCGTTGGATGCGGTGTGTTGGAGAGCGAGTCAAGGGCAGGCTATGCTCATGACCAGCGGATCCAAGCACGGATGATGCAAAGGTGAGGGAGAATGAAAACGGCCAACTCGTGGCGGACGTCGGACGGCACGTCGGCAAGCCCCTCGGCAGACATTCCGGGCCGAGTCTCAGATCTCATCGGAATCGGCAAAGTCTGCCCGCAACGGAATCTTCCGATGTTGAACACATCTTTGGCGCATCGGCGCTTCAGCCAGCGAGAACACACTCCAATACCGGACCAGAGAGCGAGAAGATGGTGGCAGGACGAGGAAGAGATAGGTTGTTTACACCGCGTTGGACACGACTTTGAGATGGGCAGCACGTGACCAAGTTCATTGTTTGCCCAACTGATCGGACCAGCTCGAACCAAAGGCAGCGCGACAACAGCGCGACAACTATGCAAACAACACCTGGCACGGGCCCAGAAGAAACCTATAAAAGGGCATGAGCGACTTACATGTACTGAGTACTGTAACACACCATGCCGAGTGTTCGTGACCACTGACATGGACTCAGAGTCAAGACCCTGGCACTTGTGAGTATGGTTGTTGGACCGAACGGACACGAGGTCTTCGGCAGAACTCCTGGGCCATGCCCAGCCCAGGCTCAGCCTCCCCGTTATGGACAATGCTCGCTCGTCATTCATTCAGAGTCTCGCCCAGCGACCCAGTAACCTCCGAGAACATGACTCGACGCGTACTCTGACCAGCCGTAGACTCGGAGACTCGGTGGGCTCCCTCTTGGGCAGACCGTGTCACCGTGAACGCAGCGCTTCAGCTTGATCCTCCTGCTGTGCTAGGTTAGAAAATTCTCGGGTGGTTTTCAACTGACGTTACTAGTTAGCAATTGTTAAGTATGTTAACAATAACTAGATAAGTGCCGTCTACGCCGGCGCACGACCTTGCTTGCCATTGCTCTGGCGGTTGACATGTATTGCGAGAGGCATAATACAGACGAATACACTACAAGGTCCCCACTGGAAAGCTGAACTTGTTCAACGTGTATGTTGCATTGTCCAGGAGTGCAGGTGGCAGAGACAGCATAGTCTAAGGGCTCCTGCGGGACTACGAAAAGGATGTTCTCGCCAAAGGGCGCGAGGCCGCACTGATGGAGGACGATTCGCGACTTGACGCGTCGGACGCGAAGACAAAGACATGGTGGGAGAAAATGTGCGGCGACATACAATATGTCTGCGCGTTCCTAGCTGAGGTAACTTAGAAGCATCAGTGGGCCCTGCGTGCGAGAACGCAGACTCGCACTGCAGATACATCGGTCATATTAGTCCCCCGTCGCGTGAGGGCTTCGCACGCGACCCGTCGTGCTGCTGAAGGAGAGCGGGAACGGTCGCGCGGGACGTGGAGACGCTCGAGCGGTCTGCCTAAGACTGCAGCGGACGCAGAGGATACGATGGTGAGCCACAAGGACCATGCAACGATGCAGTGGAATGTAGACTGAGCGACAAACGACGCGATCGTGTGGGCTTTCCGTGTCGCCGCCTGCTGCGCGGGCCGCACGCGAGCGGAATCAGCTGTCTTGTATAGGCCGGGCGGTGCGCAGCGTTGTTCGCGGGAGTGTTGCACGCCGTCCTAGCGCCATAGAATCGGTATAGACGTCGGGGCAGACACGAGCGAGCAGGAAGCCTATGAACTTGGTCAGTGCCCGTAGCCGGAGGAAGGCACGGATATGGAATAGTCCGTTCAAGGAGAAAGCTCGCCCACTGCCCTTTGCAGCGCCATCCGACGGTGTAGACAGAGACGTTGAATTTAGAGATGAGGGCAGGCGATCGCGGCAGGACATGCAGCGTAGGGTGGGTGAATCGAGATGGGAAATGGCAGACGACAACAACGAAGCAGCGAGCGAGCTGTCGGTCCGTCGGACCCGGCCCAGAGGCAGCGCTGGGTAGTAGGTACCTTTGGCGTGGTTCTTCAGCCATGCAGGTATCAATGCACAAAGTATGCGATGGCCATACCTCAAGCAGAGGCTACGCTACATTCCGTGTAAAGAACACGTCGTTCGCGTTGCGAAGAGCGGAGACGCGAGACGCTAGGCTCGACACCAGCCTTCGCTGACGTCACAGGCAAGCTGAGTGTCAGCGAAGGGCTGGGATGCACCGACCGTCACACGGCAGGGTCACGAATTTGTGACTCGGGACTTAGAAACTTTCGATGATTTCGCCTCTTGCCCACACGAATGCGTGATGTTCAGCCTTCCCTCGCGCCCAACCCTCGCCCCTGTCTCTCCTGAAATCTACGTAAAACAGACATCATACGGGCTACTGGGCTCGACTGTCGACGCAGTAATCACGCCCTAATCGCAAAACCCTCCACAAAGCAATTGCATCTGGAAAATGCAGCCTGGCTATGTAACATTATATAGGACGCATAGCGGGCATAGCAGAATTGCTTGACCCTCTGTATATAGCACTACATGATGGGGCCTC